AAAAGTCTCCATGGGTTCAATCCAATCATATGACTAGATTTTAAGATACAGGGTGTTAAAGTTAGAAATCCCCAATTCTTTAAATTGGCCACCAAAGATCACCTACTATGTATTTTTATTTTTTATTATTGAATGTATTAACAAATTGCTAAATAAAGGACTTATATATAACTAAGATACAGGGTGGTCCTTAACACGGTACCGCGCCAAAGAAGATTTAAAATACCCTGTGTGTCCTTGTGTGTCGATTACAACAAGCTATAACACTTTAGGTCTGTAGTGAAAAATTATGGAGTTACAGGATGTTAAAGATTATCTATATTTCCAAGTTCCAAGTATTTATGGCGTTATAATCGTTAAATACTTGACAAAACAACTTGCATGCCTTTACATAATAATATAAAAAAATAGGCCAGTGATTCGAAAAATTGCGAATATTTTATCACCCTCTATTCAAATCAAATTTTTACTGAGAAGCCCTGGAAAAATCAAGAGAGGAACAGGTAAGTCGTAAACTATAAAAATATCAAAATTGCTTCGTGAAAATAACAATAACACATGATAGCTACTCAATTTAGGTTAAATATTTAAACAACCACTAACATGAAAGGACTATTTATACTTCATTGTGTACCTAACTAGAACTCAATGGATTTCATAGAAGAAGACATTTCAGAAGTGGAGAATTTCCCAGATTTATTATTGCACATTTAAAACATTAATGTATGTTTATTTATAAGCTTTTTCAATAAAGGCCTCTCAAGCAATTAATTTTCTAGTCTTTAGCAATAATTTTATATGTTGTTGATTTTTCAACCTTGCAAGTTCTATCAGGGATGCGACTCAAAACAAAATGTATTTGGTGACTTTACCTCATGGATGGCGTGGAAAGGAGTTCACAATCTGATTTAAATATACAATATAAAGAGGCACTTATGGCAATGCTTGAGCCAAATAAATTTGTAAGCCGATCACAATTCATTTCTCTAGATCCTACTTAGACCTACTTTACAATTAACTATTTTGTAATGGAATAATGTATGACCCTGTATGGAGACTTATAAGATTTTTTTAATGGACAACTCGCAACTTACAAGGCAATTCGTTTTTATTTTGTGGCAACAATTTCAATATTTCTTGTTGAATTTTTCACCTTACATGTCATATTCAACTGTAATCGCCATGTAAGTACGAAATTTTTTGTCCGCTTCCAAATAGTACAGGCAGTACATTCCTAATCCAACACACTGTCAAAATATTTAATGTGTCATTTCTCTTGAACATATCTACTAAAGCCAGTATATATTTATTGTTTAAAATTCATATTAGGTACATATTAAGTTATATTTAGAAAACTAGTAATATAATCCAATTTTACCAATACAAACGAGTACATTGACATTTACAAAGTGGCCCAAAAGTCTGGAAACGGCCAATTATCTCGTAAATTGCTAATTCTAATTGTACAAAATTTGGGATACACCTATTTTGGGATACGGAGATTGTAGATTTGATATTTGCAATGTTGCCAGATTTGCCGTTTCTCTTATATTATTAGTCACTTTGATTTTTCAAATTCATCACCCTGTATATTCAGTCATTATTGGAATCTCCTATTCAATACGAGTTCAACCATATGTAACACTTATGATTTTATGTAGTCTGTAACGTCTTAAATAAATAAAACAATCATGGAGAAATGTGGTAGATGCATTCTACCATCTATTAGGGTACTGTCAACTCACAAATGGAGCACATTTTGAACACTTGATAAAGTAACCATTATGTTAAAAATGTTAATAATAATCTTTCAATTGTTACGTTTTAATGTGGTTGAAAATAGTTTGTATTAAAAAATTTATTGAGACAATTAGGCGTTGTCAGACTTATTTTATTTATTTAAGACTGATAAGTGATTAAGTGATATATATGGTTGAACTCGTATTAAATAGGAGATTCCAATAATGACTGAATATACAGGGTGATGAATTTGAAAAACCAAAGTGACTAATAATTTAAGAGAAACGGCAAATCTGGCAGCATTGCAAATATCAAGTCTGGAATCACTGTATCCCAAATTTTGTACAATTAGTACTAGCAATTTACGAGATAACTGACCGTTTCCAGACTTTTGGGCCACTCTGTATACAATATCAAATATTGAGACTTGGGTGGTGTTTTTTTTCGACATTTCAGCTATTTTTGGTCAGTGGAAATACCTACTTTGATCAAAAAAAAAAAAAGATCTGCAGAATCATGAATCACCCTCTAAGTGACAATATTTTAATTATAGTAGTTAAGTATGTATATTGACTACACAGAATGAGCAAATAATATTTAAGAGTGATTTTTGGTCTTCATTTTAAAGAATTAGGGATAGCTAACTTCAACACCCTGTATCTCAATATTTAGTCATAGGATAGGATTGGGCCCATGGACACTTTTAATGGGGAAGTTTAATAAGTAATTTTTCAAGAGCCTAAAATAGTTCATAAAATTAGGGAGGTTGTTTTTCGAAAATAACCTCTAATTTTTTTGGAAAAGTTTATATTTCAAGAGCCCAAAAATATGGTGTGGTTGCTTTTAGAAAAAAATTGAGAGTCCCTGCTGCCTTGATTTTTGTAAAAAACGAGGAGCATACAATTTTTGAATATGTATAAAAAAGCCTTTAACCTTCATCAGCTACATATGCTTATGAAGAGTGGTTAGTCATGATCAGGGTTGCCAACCGGTCTTTACCGATTTACTCTCAAAAACTTTTCCGGATTACTCACAATTACTCACAATTTCAAAATATCAATATTACTAGTTTTTTTATATAAATTGTATATTTTGTACTCTTGCACTTTTGTTTGAATTTATTTTACTACTGTGCAATGTTGCTAATCGTCAAAAGAGCAATTTTCAGAACATACAAGAGTCAAAACAGATGCACCTTTTTTCTGTGCATTCACTATTTTAATAACCAAGTAATATACAGGTTGATTCATAACTATTGGGACAGGCTAAGGACAGGTTATTTGCACAAAAATATGGCATAGGACCAAATATACCTTAATTAAATATTGCTGTGGAATAAGATACAGGGTGTTAAATTTTAATTCTGTTTCTTCGTTTTTTTCTGATGTCACTGTATATTTATGAATTGTTATCAAAATTGGTACAAAGGCATATTTTTCGAGGAATAATAATATTTTATATATTATTTCACATTTTGTTACAGAAGGCGCCACGTGAATGATTCCTGATGATGAAATTAAGTGGTAGCTTTTTTTACGAATCTTTTTAGTATATTTGATTAAAAATTTTACCCGTTTTCGAGAAAAACGCAATTGAACAACTCACAAAATATTTCATTTATGAAAAGTTTGCTTTGCAGTGTCAAATAATTTGCTGTTAGATTATAATCTATTTTTATTACTATTATTATTATTATTATTTAACGTCCTGTATCTTATTCCACAGCAATATTTTATTAAGGTATATTTGGCCCTATCGCCATATTTTGGTACAAATAACCTTCCCTTAGCCTATGTCCCAATAGTTATGAATCACCCTGTATATAAAACATCTTTGTAATCAGCTAAACAAAAAAGGATGGAGAATTAGAGTATATTCTTTATTAATGGGCGAAATCATAATAAATCATTAATTCTAATACTTAAAAAAAATCTACTAATACAAATGAACAAAAAAAGATATTAATCGACGATTGGGAAAGTTCCAATGGGACTATCACTATCGACAAGACACCTAGGGGTTGTAAAACATCAAAATCACTTTTACTCTATTACATTGACCAAGCAATAGAGGACGCTGCAATTTTAAAGCTACAAAATTGTTATGACTGCTAAAAGTGCAAGGGGGTAAAATTAGGCTTATATTAAATTTTTTTAAAAGAACACGGTTTTAATAAATTATGCGATCAGGATTTTGCCTAACTACCATGAATATACCCACGCTGACTTCCCGATTACTCACATATTACTCACAATTGCCCTTTACTCACAAAATTACTCACAGACTAGTAAATTACTCACAAATGTGAGGAATTACTCACAGATTGGCAACCCTGGTCATGATGGATCTGCCTGACCCATGAGTACTAAATGCCCGAGTTGTTTGTTGTTTACATATCTCATTCAGTGCTTAATTTAACTCTCTTGTGTAGTGAATAAACAATATATTTCACTTTTATAAAATAAAATAGATTTTTGGTTATTTTATTATAATTCAAATTCTAAGGCAGTTACTTCTAGATTGTTTTCTTCTAAGCATTTTTGACAGTTTTATGTATTGATTCAAACACAAATATGCAGGTTATTATTCACGTTTGGTCGCCAGTCATAAACAAGGGGACTTGACACAAATAATGATTATTTGTAATGCAATAAAAATAATACTGTTCTTAACACATTGAGTATGGTGTGGCACTTAACGGATGTCTCACTACTTGTCTTTTTTGAGAGGGTGAGGCATCAATATGATGCCACACTTGGCACAGTTAGTAAATTAGCAAGGTTTCATAGTACATATGCCTCCTTATAATGCTACACACATAGGAACCTCCTCTTAGCTGTCTATAGTAATAGAAAAGTTTAGTTGGCCTTGAAAATAGGAGATAATTTTGTGGGGAGGCATAAACGTTAGGCCAGAAAAAATTATTATATATTTGACAAAAACTTTAAATAAATTAGGCTTTATCCGAGTAATATGAATGTCAAAAAATGTCCTGTCCTCTGAGATGACTTTTTTCTTCACTTCCGTACTCAACATGTTAAAATTCAGGCAAACTATTCTTAGGAGATTATCGCTGAGCCTTCACAGAACTACATAGGTAATAGTTTAAAAAGAAACTGACAAATTATTGAAATTATACAACATGGGACTGACAGCCCTATAAGCGACTAACGAAGGTTTAAAATGGCTTAAAAATATGGTATAGGTAGGTTTCATCTCAAAATTCAATTATTAATTTTAAGGTTTATTACTCAGTAGATTTACTTACCATGTTCACATTCTGTGCATTGCATTTTACTACACACACAATAATTGTTTTCTTTAAAACTTTTTACATTATTTTTATCAAATTTGTAACCAGTTGAAACGGAATTTTGTTGCCTGTCTTCTTTTTGAAAGTTTTCATAATTAAGCAAGTTTCTTAGTATTGAAGTTTGTTCAATTGTATTGGCAGGTTCAGTCTTATTCACTTCTATCCTAGGTATACAAAACATTTCTTCTAAAGGTTCTTGCTTTATGGTAATTTGGGGATTTAGTAGTACAAACTTAAGAAGCATATTATTGTACTTCATCTTATCCATGAATATTGAAATGTCCATAAGATCTTTAATGCATTTGGAGCATATATTTTTTGGGAAATCACTTTCAGACTTTACCTATAAATATATTAATATGTTAAATAACAAAACTAGATAGTATAAAATACATACGTTTACATCTGTGATTATTTCTATTAATTCAATTGTATTTTCGTCCAATGGTTTTAAATCACCTTTGTCCAAACATATTCTACAAATATTTGGAAAATCAAAGGCAGCTACTAACATTTTGAACAATGTTTTTAGAATTGTTTGGATACAACATTCAACACAACGGTATGCATTTTGGATTTTGTTTTGATATTTGTTGGTTGGAATTTGGAATCACAAGTTGGAATTTGAAATGTTTATATCATGGAGGAAGGATAATTAAGAGTTGCCGTTTCTTTGTATAAATATGGCAACATGTTTGCCTTCAGCGACATGTGGGATAGTTTTGTGCAACTAATACTCAGTCGGTAATATAAAAAGCTGTAATGCTATTTTAATTTGAAAATTGGCGGGCTTTTGAATTTACTTCGACAAAATATAAGAATTTTACATTTTTAATAGCATTTTTTTTACACGCATCTCAGGCGTGTTAAAAAATGCTAATAAAAATGTAAAATTTTATGTTAAATAATTTTAGAGGTAAAAAATAAATAGGTAATACAAAATTGTATTATAACTAAATATTATTTGTTGAATCTTTATTGGTTACAACAATAAACATAATATATATTTTCTGAATAAACAACTATTTTAAATAACACAAAACGAACAAAATTTTTCTTTAATCGTGCGAAATAAAACAAGAGTTCCATCCATAAATCCTGAAAAGAAAAAAAAAACAATTGTTGAAAGCGAAAAACTTCTTAAAGCACATGATTTTGATTGTATGTGACTAATTACTTTTGCATATGCAGCGATTTAACTAATTTTTAATTTACTACTTCTAATTTCTATAACGTCTAATTAAGATTTTCTTGCTTTATGTAATGAAAATTACTTTAGATTTATAAAGATTAAAAAGTTTGGTTATAATACATACAATTAAATTGGCATATCTAGGATAATTATCAAAATGAATATCAGAATTAAAACTTTGTTAAGGATTTCAATATTTGGGGATAATACAATTACGAATACGAATAATAATCCTTTTTTCAGTTGACAATAAAATGAAAATGTTTCTTCTAAAACAGTGTAAATGGGCCAGAACAATTTACTATTATAATCAAATATATGCATTTATAGGACATAGACATGCAAAAGTATCAAAATAAGTTTACTTACAGTAAATTATTACTAAATTTATGCCTAAAACTGTATTAAATAAAAGTAAAACTTCAGAATTGTTTACATCGACAGCCATATTGTATTTTGTATCATTCGGCATTCGGGTTTCGTTTATCGAGTCGACTCGAGCTTTAACGAGATTTGGGTTTTGTTATCCAAAGCCAGGTTTACATTGTACAAATAATTGAATAAATTCATATTTTTTCAATTTTACGATCGATAAATTAAAAAAAATGTGAAACTATTACTTTTGGCAAGTTAATAACACATTCTTATTGAAATATTTTGTAATTATTCTGTTTTCTTTATATTTTATATATAATTGTGTTATTGTAAAACGGACGTACGCCAGTTTCGATGCGCAGTAACTTGTTGACAAAATGCGCATATGCTATAAACCCCCGTGGTTTATATTTAATTTTATTTTTATCATTTTCTATTTACTTACATTTTATACTTTCGTAGTTTCGATGTTAGATGGCGGTAATATCAGCTGTCATTTATCAAGTTCATCTTCTTCTTTCTTAGTTAATGGCCTCCACCTTACAGGTACTTGGCCACCGCGTTTTTTTGAAATTTCAAGTAATTTTCTGTGGGTATGCCCTTACAGGTAGGGTTGTCATCTTTTTGAAAAGTAAATAAAGGACTATGATGCTGATATGGGATTCGGTATACAAAAGGTCCTCATACTTCTAGTGAAATTAAAAAAAAAGGTCGACGAGTGTGTAACAAAAAAGTCCTCGTCCTTCTACCGAATAAAAAAAGCTCAGCTTGTATATTTTTGTACAAGCCAGGTCCCTTTCAAAGATATCAAAGATTAAAACAGGACATATGCCGTAAAAAAGGACATTTTAAGCTTTAAAAAGTCGCAAGGACATTTTGCTTGAAAAAAGTACTGTTTTTTTTTCAAAAAAGGACAGGTGGCAACCCTACTTACAGGAGTCTGCACACATCACATACTTTGATTTTCTTTTACTATTGGTGCGTTTGATTTGATCATCGGAGACACAGACCTTTTATATATTGTTTAATCGGAGATCTCCGAGCGCTACAAACGTATTTGAATTAACACTCCGAGAGATCCCTAAAGTGTTTGTTTTGCTTTGGAGCGAGAACATAGAGCGAGCTCGATGTTCTCAGAGCAGAAGGATCGAGAAGAGGGAGAAATTTGTCTTTGTCTCTACCTATCTCTTTTTAATTAACCTACAAACAAATTTGAACCTCAAAATTAAAGACCCGACAAGAAGTCAATAAAATACTTAGCTGCCTTTGTCTTATATCTAAAATTATTCGTCATAAAAAAACATAATGTGTGTTTGGAAAATACATTTTCTTTGTCCAAATCTAATCACCAGTAATCACAGTCATGGAGTAAAAAAGCGAAGTGAGCATTTATTGTGGTATATGCTGCATTTCAGGACCATTACCCCTTACTATTAAAAGTTTTTCTATTTTATTTACTTTTTGCTCACTATTTTGACACACAAACCAGAAACAAGAATCACAAAAAAGCGAGGTTTTGTTTTTTACTCTGTTTTATTTGATTTGACTCAATGCTCTATTGTGACGTCATCACTTCTCGGTCTCCTCGACGCTCGCTCGATCGAGTTTCAAATCAAACGTCGCTTATATGGAGAATGGTCGCACTGCGCAGCTTTCTGAGTGCCTTTTAAAAGGAGATAGAAAACTCCGCCATTTTGAACCCTTATTACGTGTTGCCTACATCTTGGCGCAATATTTTTAATAGGTGCGTTTTAATCATCCGCTTCTGCTTAGGAATTGTCGGTTTTCTTGTTTAAATGACAGGTTAGAACGACTGATTACTCTGAGGACTGAACCGACAATTCCGGAAGCAGAAGCGGATGATTAAAACGTACCTGATATTTGGCTTGCTGCTGTCAGTGTCAGTGAATATTATTTTTGGAGTCACAGTTTATTGCTAAAGAATCAGTTAGCTCACTTGGACCAGTTGAAAGTTCCAAAATAACATCCACTCCAGGGATACAAATTCAGGATACGCAGAAGACTGCTGTTTTATTATAGGCGGTTGTCCTATATTGTATTATCTGAGTTGCGCAGTGTATAAACTGGAACATTGAGATTAAAAGTGCCGACGCAGAGTGAGCGATCTGATTCTTTAGCTATAAACTGTGTCATAGGGTTCAAAATGGCCGCGCCCTATGTTGGACGTGTCGGACCTCTCTCTTGCCTCGTATAGTAATCAAAGTATGTGGCACACATACTTTGATTAAATATGTGAGTCTGCAGATGTGGTCTGAGTTTCTCCATCTTCCCCACTGATCTGTTGTCACATACGTCGATTGTTATGTGACATTAGAAGAAATATGCCACTTGCTCAATTAGGCATTCCAGGCACATACTTGGATTTTCTTTTACTATTCGCTCCGTGCGCGACAGCAGCGCCAATTCGTTTTGATACTAATGGACTATTTCTGCGTACACTGACAAATGTAACTTTTAATAGAATTCGTAATTAAAAAGTATATATGGTAGTTTTAATAAAAGTATATGGATTTGTAAAACAAGTAAAACATTAATTTATTATTATTATATATTTTTCTCGCATAAATTAAAGAAAATTATGTATAATCGATAAAAATGAATAATAAAATATAGGCAGGCAACATTATTTACTGGAAATTGTATGAGAAGTTGCCTAAGTCTAATAAGTTTTCATTGATGAATTACTCTAATCTGTCAAAATAAAAAAATACCATTTAATAATAGCTTGAAGTTAAAATGTATAAAAGAAGGATCATTACTTATATTTTCATTTTTGTTCGAAAGAAAACATAGAATGAATGATTAAAACTGATTTCCCATCAGTAAGTTACAAAATTGCGTTCCAACCACATATAATAATCAAAGGCAGAAATCTTGAAATCTAGTCCTTGCTGAATGAACATTTAAGAATAAGGGATATTAAAGAACATGGTAAAAGGATAATTTATTGTTGATTTAAAACCTTTCAAGTTTCTGATGTCTACTATTTGCAGCATTACGGTTATTATTACAAAAATAAAGGTAATTTTTCTTCTTATTGTATATCTATCCATTTATTTCTTTGATTTAATTTCCACTTTGCTACTGAAATTTTTTATATAAGTTTCACTGTTTTTTTTTGCTAGTATTTGTTCAATTTTCAACACAGCAACTCCGGTTGCTTATTGTATTGTTTTTACCTACTTTTTTTGAAAAAAAGTAAAATGTATACGTGTATTCGATATGCCAAAATTACAAAATATCGCCCTAAAATGCACGAATTATCCGCAGCTAGCGCTAGTATCGCTTTGGTTCCCTTTCCATGACTTCGCACGGAGCGAATACGGAGAATGGTCGCACTGCGCAGCTTTCTGAGTGCCTTTTAAAAGGAGATCGAAAACTCCGCCATTTTGAACCCTTATTACGTGTTGCCTACATCTTGGCGCAATATTTTTAATAGGTGCGTTTTAATCATCCGCTTCTGCTTAGGAATTGTCGGTTTTCTTGTTTAAATGACAAGTTAGAACGACTGAACCGACAATTCCGGAAGCAGAAGCGGATGATTAAAACGTACCTGATATTTGGCTTGTTGCTGTCAGTGTCAGTGAATATTATTTTTGGAGTCACAGTTTATTGCTAAAGAATCAGTTAGCTCACTCGGACCAGTTAAAAGTTCCAAAATAACATCCACTCCAGGGATACAAATTCAGGATACGCAGAAGACTGATGTTTTATTATAGGCGGTTGTCCTATATTGTATTATCTGAGTTGCGCAGTGTATAAACTGGAACATTGAGATTAAAAGTGCCGACGCAGAGTGAGCGATCTGATTCTTTAGCTATAAACTGTGTCATAGGGTTCAAAATGGCCGCGCCCTATGTTGGGCGTGTTGGACCTCTCTCTTGCCCCGTATAGTAATCAAAGTATGTGATTCCAGCACATACTTTGATTTTCTTTTACTATACGGAGAATGGTCGC